AAAAACACAACCAATTCTTTTTAATTGATATTTCTAAGTATATAGCCAAATATTGGTTGGCTAGAAGAGATTGTACTTTCCTCTTTATTAATAATAGAGTAAACCACCGTGTGTAACTGTCACTTAGTTGTTTAAGATGATATGAAAAGGTTGTTTTCAGTTTGGGTGAGTGGTGACTGTTCTATTAACTTGATTCTCCCCATTCCCATTCTACAACTCTACCACCACTCTCAGCATATTACAAGCATATATGCTAAAGAGTAGGTGTAGCCTTATAATTATGTACGAATAAAAATAAATATATGAACGGAGAATTTATTAATTAATGATGACACAATCAAGCTGAAGCTTAATTTCCAGATAAAAGAAAAATGTGACAACCTTTGAGAACCATTTCACATTCCAAAAGCTCACCCGTAACTTTGTTATTGTGTACACTAACTACACTCAGAAAGGCAAAAGGTACCACTCACTTTCAAAGATTGTCCACATTAAGTCAAAGTAATGTAAAGTTTGGGAGGAAGTTGATAATTCATATGGTATATACAATGCAGGAAAACAGTAGTGGGAATAATGAGGTGGCAGAGAGACAGGTGGCAAAGCTGATGGAGGAAGACATGGGGTCAGCAATGCAGTATCTTCAGGGGAAGGGCCTCTGCCTTATGCCCATCTCCTTAGCCTCAGCCATCTCAAACCAAATTTCTTCATGCTTGGATATAAAAAATTTTGGATTTGTTTGGATTTTTTGGTTTGGTTTGGTTAATTTAGAAAAAGGTGATATGGTTAGGTGTTAGTGGGTATATTAAAAAAATATTTAAAATAAAATAATTAAAATTGATGAGATAGATGATTTGGAGTAATAGTTAGTTAAAATTATGTGAGTGGATAAATAGTGAAAAAAGGTTGATGTGATGTGTAAGAATTATTGGTTGATATTATTTAATCATATTAATAATATTAATGATAGTTGGGTTGAGTTAAAAAAAGTGATTGGGTTAAAAATGTTTCGATTTTTTGGATAAGTTTTGTATCCAAGCATCCTAACGTCTTTTCATCATTTTTTTTTTAAATTTTGTAACTATGAAATTTGTGCAATTCCTTTGAATAATTAATTTACATCAAAAACTTTGCTTCAAAGTTCAGACTTTTGAATGCCAATCTATTTGCGACGAGGGATATACATTTAGCATTTAAGCGGCTCTCATCACATTTTACTGATTATTTATGCTTTAATATATGTGTAGATTAACGTTGATGGAAATTCTAAAAATTTGAGGTTGATAAAATCTTTTTTTTTTTTTTTCGTTTCTCCACTCCTAATTTATACACGAATCTTAATAAGAGAAACGATTCTTTTAAACTTCTGAAATAGTAGAATTAATTATCATTTATCGGCTTGATCATGCATATGGTCAATCCTCTTTGGGAAAATTTAGTTGGGGTGTCTTCAATTTAAAATTTTAAAGACTTTTTTAAAATATTTAGAATTTTAATGAATTCAACTGAAATTTTTTGGGCCCAAGATTTATAATTGAATCCCACATATATTGAATTTGGAGCTACTCACGTCACTAAGCCCAAGCATGGGTTGATTGACCCCAATATGGGCCATCTAACTTAATTGTGGAATTAAAAAATGTAGCAGTGGGCTTGTGAGTGTTTGTTTGTAGCAAAGATACTTATACAACATAGGAGACCACACGCAAAGAGGGGGAATTATTTTGAGGGCAGCACCATAGGATTTATTTGGAGAGGAAGCAGCCTCGCGGGGAGAAATTATTTTACGCCGCCTTCACACATCAACAAGAGAGAGTAGCCGCACGAACATACACGAGGAATCCGATCAATCGCGCGGAAGGAGGCAGCACCCGTACACGAGAAGAATAATTTTATTATTCTTTTTTTCTTTTTTATTTATTATGTAAGAGTTGATATTATTTCTAGTTCCAGGGATGTCGAACCCTACGTACTTGGCTTTGTTTAGTTAATATGGTGATTGCTTATTTTGCTATTTTTATGAAATTATGCGTGTTATTTTGAATGATCAATCATGATATGTTTAATTTTATTTCGATTGATCACCTAGATAAAAAATTTTCATGTCTAATGCTAGAATTGAACTTACAGTCCGCAATTGTTGTTGAGTTTAATTCGTACGAAACAACAAAAAACTAGTAACTGTCGAGGATAACACGACCTACTTAAGTGAACCGCACGGTTGTGTTTACTTCTTAGACTAGTCTATTTTTCTAGATCCTAAAGTGGCTATTGCATTAAATCTGGAGAGCGTGTTCTAGACTGCCCAATAAGCCAGCTTTAATCGAAGAGCGTCTCTGGGTTAAATAATCAGTAAGAAAAAATTCGGGTAGCAGAGCGTATTGTTACCTAGGGCTAGTAATTTCAGAAGATAGTGAAACTTGATGTCACAATTGATTAGACTAGTCGAGCGAGGGCGTAGACTCTTCTGGCTCCTGCCATTAAAACTGAGATCTTCTAATTTTCCTTTTGGCGTAGTACACTTACACTAGTGTAGAACCGTGAACTAGAAAATTCTTTTATTTTATTTTATTTTATTTTATTTTACTTTTTTAAATTTTATCTGCTTCATTAGGTTTTTTTATTTAGTTTAGGTATTAAATCAAAATCTCTGCCCTCTTTTATTGCTTTCTTAAATTCAATTAATACGAAAAAATTCACAATTTGATTCACACTCCTCGTGGAATCGACCATTGCTCGCCACTACTGCTCGTTGGTAGAGGTTGGTTAAGAAACAAATATAAATTCTAATTTTCTGCGTTGCAACGCGCGGTCATACGTGTTCGTGGGCGATGAACTCGAAGCTTCCCTTTGGATTCTTGATTTTCTCACAAAAGTACACAAAGTAGTGTGATATATATTTCTTATAAGAAGGGGCGATCGAAGCATCAAGGAATCGATATATTTATAGGTTACAACAAGGACTTTGAGGATCTGCTAAACAAGGGCTCTCCAGGTGTGAACAGAATTTTGAAGTTATGGTCCACCTACACCTTTTACACTTGAATAATATTTTATTCTACTAAAAAAGTATTATTTGTAGCGTCTTCTTACTTATCTTTAAAAAACTCTAAGTTTTCAGAAATAATTTAAACTTTTCAACAACATTTAACTTCTAAATTCTTTCTAGTGCACTACAATCGAAGCCTCACACTTAAGTATTTGCAAGAACTCTCTTCCCATATTTCAAACTTAAACATTTCCAAACCATAAGTCAATACTAAACTCAAACTTCATAAATTTCTCGGGGTTCTAGAAATAATATTCCAAACCACATGATAAAATAACAAGTCTAAAAACTCCATAACTCATAAAACCATTGTCTTAGACTTTTCATAAAAATAACCAATATTCAAACGGTGACCACTTCACTATCCCGTGCCCATCCAACTCAATCATCCTGACAGGGGGAAATAATGAGGGGTGAGCAAAACACTAGCTCAGTGGGGGAAACATACTACGCGATTATTCAATATAACAACAGATAACATAACATTAGCATGAACATAAATCAATTGGTCTCAACTGTCTCAAATGTACTTCCGTAGGGAAAATGGGTTTTGCCAAAACGCGCAACGGGAGTCTATCTCATGTGTACACACCTTTACCGGAGGGAAATTGGATTTTGCCCAGATGCACACCGAGAGATCTAACTGAATGCCCCTCTTAGGCAAAGCCCCGCTCAGGAATAGTACTCATATAACATACCTGAATCATAATATCATGCGATTATAAAGATTAAGACGCAGTACAGAACCCCTACCTCAAATGCGGATGATGAAATGCTGAAATCTCAACGAACTGCTCGAGGACTCGACTCCTCGAAATCTACAATTTAAGAATTTATCTCACAATAATAATTTTACTTAATGAATTATTATTAAAATAATTTCTTGATTTGATTAATTAATTATATCACTTCATAATTTCTTAAAATACTTAATTAATTAATTTCATTAACTTAATTATTTAATTTCTCTAACTCATCTTCTCAATTTCCAAGCTCGTCTAAAGTCTGGGATTAAAAATCTCAAGGCTCGAAAACTAAATTTTTAGTTCACTTAATGCTCGACTTAGAAATAATTCATGCTCGGCTCAATATAATACTAATGCTTGATTTAAAATACAACGACTCGGTTTGGCTCAGCCTGACACGTATGCACGGGCTCCCAGTTCAATTCAGCTCACTGAGGTGGCTCGCGGCTCCGTCGGAGTGCAAACGCTGGGAGCACCTTCCTGCTCTTTTTGCAGGTTTAGGTCTTTGAACTGGTAAAGAGGTAGATTCAGGTCATTCGAGCCCGGTCGAAGCCCTTTTACACACTAGTTGTAATGTAATTTTGGAATCAATTGGTATTGACGGATGAATTATACTAGTACACTAAAAATGTATTGAATGAACCTACAAAAGATAAGTTTATTTTATACTGACAAAGTAAATAAACTAGACCTTGATAATTATCGCGTTCTCTTAACTCATAATGCACTCAACAGATATTTATTTGATTTACTAAAAAGTGCAATTCATTACTAAATAAAAAGTCTAGGTTTAGGTGAGTTTAGAAATAATGCTAGTTCGGGTTAAATATAAGTTATGATCCAACTTAACCGATTATAACTGGTTGAGTTATTTCATATTCAATCACCTAACTCAAAATTCAACTCAACCAAATACTTTTTGTAAATATAATTTAGTAGTATCAAATCAATTATTTTTACTTATTACATCAACTTTTATTCACTAACATAATTTTAATCACTTATCACTTTTTATTGTCTCTCTTCTACTTTTTCATCACATCAACTTTTATATTTTTAACATTATTTAATTTTAAATTCAAAATCATCAATCTATTTATTTTATTCAAAATAATTCACTATAATACACTTTAATTCACAAGTTGGGGTCATAATCACATTCATATCCTATCCCCTTGTACCCTAATCCCTTAAATTGCAAGTCCCGCATCATGTGCTCGAACTCATAATCGATCCGCACTACCCAAGTGAAAAAATGTACCTACAAATGTATAAATTGATAGATTCTCACAATCTTCTTTTATTTTTAACCTCACTCCTGCCCAAAACCCTATCTTTCTCTCTCTAAAACTCGCGCCCACTCACATATGGAAGACGACGACGAGTTCGGAGATCTTTATACAGACGTCCTTCGGCCTCTGACGGCCTCGCATCCGCCTCACCCCGTCTCAACCCTCCAGAGCCGCCCGATCGATCAGGATACCGACAGCGATGATGAGGAAATTCTCCATGGGGCTGCCGATTTGAAGATTTCTGTTTCCGGTTCACGTCTTGATCCTGTTTTGAAATCGAATACATCTGTTCAAGAAATAAGCCTAACCAAACCGGAGGCCCGGCCTGAACTTGGAGGTTTCAATTGGAAGTTTGATTCCACTTCGAAGGCTGCCGAGGTTGCAGGCTGTGATGGATTGGGGTTGGAAGCGGGAAAGGAGCCTTCTGGGGGATTTAATTTCACGGAGGATGAAGATGATCTGAACATCGTGGTGGAGGAGAGAGAGAACAAAGATGACGACTTGGTTGAGAAAGACGTCAACCTCGTGCACAAACAAGAGAAGAAGATGCACAGCTCCACGGAACAAAGAGAAAACGCAGGAAGCTTTGGGGAAAGTGCCCCCGACCAGATGATTCCAGGGTTATCGGCAAATTTCGATAGTCACGTGGGCCCCAACTTCGAAGATGATTGGGAAAGTGATGAGAGTGATGATGATCTGCAGATAGTGTTGAATGACAGTCACCACGGGCCAATGGGGATGGAGAGGATGCCAGGAATGAATGATGAAGATGATGATGAGGATGGCGACCAGTTGATAATAGTTGCTGATAATGGTGACGTGGTTCATCACAGCCAGCCGATGCTTGAGGAGAGAGAATTGGGGGTCGAGGAAGGCGGGCCCACAGCTGATGGGGACAGAAAGGAGTCAGGTGATGCAGCTAAAGCAGGTGGCTCTCAGCAGAAGGTTGGGTACAGCAATCAGTTATACCATCACCACCCTTTCCATTCACAGTTCAAGGTCAGCAATCTTCTCCGATGAGAAAAAATGGATTGTGAGTTGGATTATAAGGTGCAAAATTGTAACTGTTTATATAGTGAAAAATTTTGGGTTAGTGAATAGTGACACTAAAGGTGATACAGATACGGTTTAGTTGAGTTCCAATTGTGGCATGAGATATGATATACTGTATGAAGTTATGTTGTGTTTGTTAATGGAGTTAATTATGTTATTTTGGACTCCGTTTTTGTTTGAAGTAGTTGATGTTTATTCTTATTTATGGGTTTCTTAAAAAACCATCACTACTGCTGTAGTCCCAGCAGGGTCCGAGTGGCAGGATATTAAGGCGCCTAAAGACATCCTTGCTTAACAGATTTTGCCAACATGCTTGGTGGACAATTCTTTTACCATGCATATGGCACTAATTACCAAGATAACAAAAATGAAATGTTGAAGCCTTGGCACATGGATCAGGTGCTCTGAATTTTAATATTAACTCTAAATTGATTCAGATTAGAATAAATGAATAAATAAAAACAAAAGATTTTTTTTTACATATTGGAAGTTTGAGAGAAACAATTAATGTGAATGTGTCTAGGTAAATCTTTGAATCAGTAGTTCCTTACCAAACAATTTTTGGAGCCATTAAAAACTTTTTAACACAGTAGTTGTAAAATTCCAACCTAATAAGTTAACTAATATAAATCCACCTGGTAGCTCTATACTGCATTATCATTGCTGGATGTCCTTATGGCTCTGCTGGAACTTCAGCGCATGAATTTTTTATTGAAGGCTAATGGCATATCACCTGATCTCAAGAGCAAGGTCAAGCTTTGCACCCACAAGTGCAAAATTATATGTCTATCCTATTTCAGTGTTTAAAAGTTCTATTATAAAGGGCCGAGTTCATGCATTGATTGCATTGGAATATCGTGGAACATAATACGTAAAGATACAAGGAAGATGCCATTTTTTGTATTAAAAAAAAAATCTTCGTTTGATTCTGATCATGGAAATCTGTAGTTTATAAGGAATCCCTGTTTTCTAGTTCAACTGCGAGCTTCTTAGTTCTGTGATGGAAACTTATTTTGACGAGTGATGAAGCTGATGAATAGGAAAATCTTTTCAATCTGTATCTAATGTGTGATTTATTTTCTAAATCAGTTGTACACAGTTCCTGTAAACTGATACATCACTTTCATTTGTTGAGTTTGTTATGTGCTAGCTTTCAGAAACAGTATGAATGCTTTTGTATATAGTTATATGGTAAGAGTTTCTTTTCTTCATGATCATTGACCTTGATTTTCCCCTCCTCTTTTCTTTTTCCTTTTCTTTTTGTTATTTCGGGACCACATAGTATGTGAGACCTGGTGCAGAACCATTGCCAGGAGGAACTCAAAGTCAAGTTTGCCCACCTGTTGCTGTGGGCCCTGGAGCTGGACGTGGTAGAGGTGAATGGAGACCAAGAGGCCCTGTCCCCATGCAAAAGGGGCTTCATCCTGGTTATGGGATTCCTGGTTGGGGACATAGTACAGCAGGACGTGGTTATGGAAGTGGATTGGATTTCACACTTCCATCACACAAGTAAGCTCTTTAATTCTTACCTTGAACATCAATTAAATGAATTTGACTAATTAAGATTTGGAGGACCATCTTACCATCTTGATAAAAGTTTAAGCTTATGCACGAAGATTGTGTTTTATTAAGCTGCAAGAATTTCTTTGCTATTGTTAGGACTTAGGATTTTTATGGAACATCCTTTTTCGGATACATTGATTTCATTGAGCTTCATACTATCGGTTTCAAGAGATACTTCTCTTAATTTTCATTTTAATTTGTGTTATATTCCTGGATAAATAGGACGATTCCATGTGAGTCCTCTTTGTTAGTGGAACTTGCTTCACATCCACTATTACAGTCGCACAATGCGTTTATTTATATGTTTCATGATCAAATGATTCTGTACATGTTTATTTATTTATTTTATTTATTGAGGTTGGTATCCTTATGATTGATCCTTTTTTTATCCTTGTTTAGTTGCTTCCTCGTATGAAGACTTATATATGCTCTTCTTTTATTGTTCTGGGAATAGATGGTTTAGCATGCTTGAATTATGGAAAATGGTGTAGCTGCTAAATGACTTTTTGTAGCCTGTGTTACTTTTATGAGAGCACGCGGGCACACACACACACACACACATCCTATTACTTTACAGATGTATCATCAATAACCTTTAACCTATAATCATTACGACTTGTTTCTTGGATATTCCCAAGACCTGCGGCTAGTGAAATCTCTATCAGGCATTATTTTGATGGAAGAAAATTAATTTGGATATAATCTTAATCCTTTTACTTGTCTACTTCTATCTGCTGCACGTGTTAAATAGCTGTTATTTTCTACACCTTTATATTTTTCTTAGAGAAGTGTTATTTAATATTCCAAACTTCAATGTAATTTTAGTGGTTCAATATTATTATATTATTCTGAACTTCAAACATATTTGATTTCTATTATTATTTACGGATTTTTTCTCGTTCTTCTGATTATTTGTTATTATGTTGTGACTATGTTTATGTTCTTAGGACGATTTTTGAAGTTGATATTGATGGGTTCGAAGAAAAACCATGGAGGCTTCCAGGAATTGACATGTCAGACTTTTTCAACTTTGGCTTGAATGAAGAGGGTTGGAAAGATTACTGCAAACAACTGGTACGTCTAAGTCCCACATTTAAGATATCTCTCAGTTTGGTTATCTGCAGAGTCAAAGTGAACGTGTAATATTTCTTTTATGCTCATCCTATGAAGCTAAGGGATTTTGAAATTTCTAGGAACAACTCCGTCTTGAGACAACTATGCAAAGCAAGATCCGTGTCTATGAAAGTGGAAGAATGGAACAGGTAATGTCTTCCGTTTCTACATTTGAATATAAAATTTAGCTGTCATGTGTCCATGAGTGGTGCCCGCATTTATGGCCCCCTCTTTTGTTTTCATCGTTCACATTTCCATTTTACTCTCATGATTATTGTACAATTTTTCACTTAGCCTTGTCTCCGTAACTTTTTGGTGTCAAATTCAGGACTATGATCCTGATCTTCCCCCAGAACTTGCAGCAGCAGTTGGTAACCCAGAAATTCCATCTGAGAACAGGAATGCTGGGACAGGAGAAGCCGGTCCATCTGACTTAGCAAGATCAAGTGCCCATGCTCAGCCACCAATTGTATGTATATTGTTTCATATGAAAGCTATCACTTTTGTAATTATTAAGTTTGTTAATAAGAATACCGAGCCAATGATGAAATGAGCAGAAAATCATGTTTGTCAATGGAGGAATAAGAGGTGTGGACAACTAGTTTTCTTTGGTGTGTTTGGATGCCTATAAAATCTGAAGCATGATCTTCTGGCTCTTCTCTAATCAGTTTGGACACTTAGTTTAGGCAACTTCTGCAAAGACTTGACTCGTCATGAACTTCGCTTCTTTCTATGACTTCACTTCTAAAGATGCAATTGACCTATGGTCGTCAATTGAATCGAGCCTAAACCTTGTCTCAGTTCATGTCAAAACGGGGGGTTCTTTTTTTCAGCTACGGATATTCAATAGAAGCACTTCTGTCTTCGGAAAAGCTACCTATCGAACTCCAGACAGCCTAGAAAAAAGTGCTTCCCTTTCATGCCGAAGAGGAAGCTTCTTTTCTTTTCTAGCTCTTCTCGTAGAAAGTGGTAGTCCAGTTCTTGAAGGGAGCCGGAATAAGTCCATTTCTTTTTCTGTAAGAAAAACTCGCTGTCCCTTTCCCAACGACACAAAGGAAAGGCGGGGCATTCCAAGCCGGCCCGGCCGCGAGGAATCAAGAGATCTTTTCCCAAGGACAGCCAATTCAGTGGGAAAAGAAATTTGAGACGTGAACTGTGGCGGGAGTCCACGTCCTGGCTCCTTGTTTATCACTGATGTATACTGGGAAAGGCATTCCCAGGCTTGGGTGTTGACTTATCTGGGAGGATTTGATGTTATCTAGAAGTAGAACGAATATCAAGCATCATTTAGTATGCCTAAACTAAATAAATTGGCCAGGGAAACATAACTGTAATTGTTATTCGGTTACTGGAATCTGTGACGTTGAAGTTGTTCCATGTAATTTATCATACCTCAGTTAAGGTTGCTTCCTGTTTATTTTTTTAGTTAACTATATGAATTCTTCTTTTCCGTTTTTTTTTTATCCCATATGACTGGAATCAAGGATTGTTTCCTGACTCTGTCACTGCATTTGCTGTTAATATACTCTGCATTCTTTATGTATAACAGAATGCAGGGTTGGACTGCAGAATATGAGTTTTTTTAATGGTAAAATTGGTCGTAAAAGAGGTTAACTTACCTGGGGTTAACAGTTAAATTATACCCAGCTTTTGAATATAATAGGTATTTAGTAGAGTCCTCATCTAACCAGCTTTCTCTAAATTTGACTGCAGCCTGTTGGCCGGCCAATACCTGTAGAAACTGGCTCTGGCGATCGTCTCCCATCAATAGACACAAGGCGTCCTAGAATGCATGATTCGGATGCCATTATTGAGGTAGTCATTTGCAATGTTTCTGTTTGAGCATGAACCTTCATGTTCTCTCTTGTCAATTTGTGATACTTCAGTGTATTTTCTGAAGTAGTGTTGCCTTTGATAAACAGGTCGTCTGTCAGAGTTCCAACGATGATGGTGACGTGGCAGAACAACAAGACAATGATGTGGTTGGAGGAGTTGATGATATTGATGTGGTTCAAGAGGATGGTGCAGGGCATATTGATCGTTCTTCACCGGCGTATAAAGGTCAGAAGAGAGAAAATGTTGCAAGAAGGGAGCAACTTGTAAGTCGTGATGAGATTGGAAAAGAGGGTGATCCTCATGAGGAGAGGTATTACGATTTTTTTTTTTCAATTAATTTCACATGGAAATTTCATTTTCTCCCCTCTTTGACTTTAACTTTTGAATATTTTTAAACAAATCCTCAACTGGACATGATTGAAGGAATTCTTGAGGATTCCATGGTGTTAAGTATTAAATCACAGTGTGTTAGGTCTTGCCTTGTCAGGAGGGAGTTGGTATTATGGCGTTTTTGTTTTTTAATTTCTAAACTAGGGAGGTAGTGAATAGAAATTCAAAGACTTGGGGTCTGAATACTGATTGATCTTCAATTAAGAAAAATGAGCTACAACACTTGAGCTACAATGCTATAACACTGATTCTGAAGCTCCGGGTCCTGATTTCTCCCTCTTCATAAATTTTGTATGATCACAGGTACACAAGTGGAAAAAGGCAGGTGGGACCATCGTCTGATACTAACCCCAGTGATGATGACGATGATGGAGCAAAACAGGTTACCGGTAATCAGAATGAGTCATTTGATAGTGAGAATGTCAAGCAAAACCCGTCTTTCTCATCCGATGATGAGGAGCCGGCCGTAGACATCGAGGATACAAATGGAGATTTCGCGATGGACGACGAGAGAAGCCTCGACATAGAGAGAGAAAATGATGAGAGAGAAAACTCCAAGTGCGAAGGTCGGGTTAGATCCAGACACGGTGAGGACAATCGAAAGATCCACGAGAGCAAAGTCCTTGAGGAGGACCACCACTCCCGACCCCGCCAGGGCAGCAGTTTCAAGAGGCGAGCTGAAGAGGATGAGGAAAGAGAGGATTCCCGTCGGCACTCGAGGGGTGACAGCTGGCGGAAAAGGGGGACAGTTCACGACCGAGATGTGGAGCTGGGGCAAAGGCCGAGGCCGAGAGAGAGGGATAATCTTGTAAAAAGTCAAACTGAGAAGGTGGATGAAGCTCACGGCAAGAGAAGGAAAGATGGGCGTGGTATTGAGAGGGAAGAGAAAGCCTACAATCATAATAGAGAAAGCAGCCGTAGAAAGAGAGAAAGAGAAAGAGATGATGCTCAGGCCAAGTCGAAGAATGGCGATACTCATTACACCGCTAGGCAAAAAGAAGCAACACGGCAGATCACAAATGGTGCACCACGAGGCCTCGAAGAAAAGAAGTGGATCAGCCACTCACGAGGGAAAGATGAGTACAAGAGATCAGGAAGAGATTACCACTCGAGAAATGTGGGCCATCAGATCAAGAAAAGGGACCGAGCTGAAGATGATAGTTTTTCACGGAGTAGGGGCCGTGAGGAGGCTAATGCGCGAGGAAATCGTCAGGGTAGCAAAGATGAAAAGAGGGCAGCATATGAAAGACCGGACATGAGCGATGAATATAATAGGCAGAAAGTGGGAAGCAGAAAGAGTAAAGAATTAGAAAGTGGAGACCGTGGTTCGTTGATCCCTTCTGAGGGGAACCACGATGATAAGCAAAGTGGGCAGATGAGTGAGATGGTATGCATTACTGTGGACCTTATTTTTATTAGATTATTCGAATTATAACTTTAATTTTTAGCTGAATGATTGGGATACTAATGGGTGCTAAGGTGCTATAGTTGTATCTTTGTTGAAATATGGTTATCCATTTGGCTAGAGAATGAAAACTATTGTGGTTTCAGTTTTACTGATTTTGCATTGTTATCTTGAGTGTTAGCTTTTGGAGAACCATGGTTGCATCTTTGACTTCTGAATCTTTTTGTGCTTTATTGCCTTTTCCTTCGTGGGGATATGTTGTGGTAAAAAATATTGGAAATTCCTGTGTATACGACCTGTCTGCAGATTCTAAAGTCAACATCACTTAATTGCTGAAGTATTCTCTCAGAGATGTTTAAGGATTATCTAAGTAATGCTGCTAGAAACGTAGAAGAACCATTTTCAGAGGTAGTTGATCTTTGTTTATGAAATGGATACCAAAGAGTAAACCGTACCAAAGAACAAATATTAAAAGAAATAAAACAGTGTTAATTTTACTTATAACCATGAATCCTTTTAATGTAAACTTAACTTCGTTTTCAATGGCATCTGGAAAAAGCTCATGACCTACAAAATGAAGTTCCAATATTCATGTTCCCAGAAGCAGTAGATAGTTGATAATTTAAGTTTCAGGTTGGGGTTTGGTAGATCTCCTGCATTTGCTTTGATGAGATATATGCCCAACGAGAAGGTTTTGGATTTTGTAAGTTAGGTTATTTTTTCTTTCATAGTAACCTGAGGTGTATCTATTAATTTTTCTTTGCTTGAGTGAATTATTTTGAGCCCTTTTTAGGACATATCTTTGGTTGTTCAGTTGATAAAGACTGATGGATTCTCCCCATTCTAGCTTTATACAAGATATATAACCATTTGATCTATATGTGCATATCAAACTTGTTTCTCCACTTCTGTTGTTGATATTAACCAATTCATTTTCTCCAGAAATAGGTTAACTAATCAGGCTAATTGAGAAGTCATTGGTTTGAGTTCTTACTTCTACTAAATCACGGTACATGAGTTCTTCTGCCATGCTTTTAGGCATCATAGGGTGTGTGGGTGATATTTGGGATTAGATTTCTTTTTTCCTTTATCTTAAAAAGTATTATTTTTTAATAAGCTAATCACCCTCTCTTATTCTTGTATCTCATAGTGTGTTTACATTGTGCCCCATCTTGTCTACTTTTCACTACAAAGCTATTTGCTCTTTCGAACTTCTTTGGAATATCTCATGTTGCAAGGGTATGCCATTGTTGGGAAAGATGCTTATACAGATTGTGGGTTTGAAGTGTTTCATATCTTGCTTTAGCTAAGTAAATTTTAATACAGTCAGATCATCTGATGTAGAGATTTTTTTAGTTATTTTTTTTTTTTCCTCCATGCTCTGCTGTCAGGTGGAGTCGAGAGCCAAAACCAAACAGTCAAATCCTGAGACCTCAAAAAAACACGGAGAAGAAGAAGCCTCCTCAGATGAAGAGCAGCAGTCGAGTTCCAGAAGGGGACGTTCCAAATTCGAACGGTGGACGAGCCATCAGGAGAGAGATCCCTCGATTTCATCATCTTCTTTCAGAAAGACCAATAAAGATTCAGACACACAGAACAGTGGCTCGATTTCTTTGATTCCCCTTAAAGCGGAAAGTAATAATAAACCTGAGTCCTCAGTCGACAATAAAGACTCGAGTGCGAAACCGATTGTGGATGATAATAATAATAACAATAAACACATGGACACTGTGGAGAAATTGAAGAAAAGGAGTGAGCGTTTTAAACTTCCTATGCCAAGTGGAAAAGAAGCAGTGGCTGTTAAGAAGATGGAGAGCGAACCTTTGCCCTCTTCACAAACTGAAGTCTGCCCAGATTTGGAGATCAAGCCCGAACGCCCGGCCCGTAAGAGGAGATGGACTGGAAATTAAGATATATGAGGATTTGAGTTTTTGAGACTATAAACTGCAGCTTTTATCTTTGTACTATTTTTACTGTTCCACATGTTGTGGCCATTAACTCTTTTCTTGTTTTGACAAACTTGACAAGTGTGAAGTGTGGACATATAAATATATATAGATGCTCCATTGTAAAGTAGAGTTGTAGTTGGCCGGTGATGAGGCACAACATTCGCATGTTCTTATTTATTTCCGTTAAGAGGAAATGGATATTTGCATTGACAGATTGGTGATAAGTGAAGGTGCTGTGTGTTTTGAAGCTGTGCTGCTGCTTTGTTTGAAAAGCTCGGGAAGCCTTAGTGCTGTGACGTCATGCATGAAGCTTGAGGAGAGAAGTGTGATGACGGAACTTTCATCAGACTTGTTGCTAATGTAGTGTTATATTTATTAGACTTCAATCAATGTAGAGGGGTGAAGCGAAATGAAGGGCTTGCTTTTGTATTTGGCCTCATGCCACACACATAAAACCAGATTTTGTAATTTTGAACTGAAGGAGATAAAGCTAAATGTAGACGAAGAATTTCTGAATTTGGGTTCAAGGTCCGGTTCAATTAGACCGGCCGGTTCCACCGGGGATCAGCAATTCGTCTAGTATAATTACAAAAAGATAATACCAAGTAAAATTGGGATGTACAAATATAGTACTAGAAATATGTTGTCACGAGAGCAACCTACAAACAACTGGATATGACCGGTTGACATAATCTTTGACATAATGCATTGTCATAAGCATAGGACGCTTGACATAATCTTTGACATAATGCATTGTCATAAGCATAGAACGTGATTTCGTTGTTATTTTAAATAATATGTGTAGTTATTATCATTTGCATATTTTAATTTTTAGGAGTTGCATAGATAGTTCTTAGAAGTTTCATGTTTAAGCCGTAGTAAATGCATAAATAGGTATTTACTTGCTGCATAGTTTCTGTAAAACAGATTTATATTTATATTATACCAAAGTTCATAGTATTTTTTTTTTTTTATTTTTTTTTTTTTTTTTGGTACAATAAGGAAGGCCGAAGCCTAGTCATTAAGGTTTGTCGTGGGTATAACACTCCGACAAGATCATGCTCGAGCTATTTTCGTGCTTCCGCTGGTGGATCACTTAGTCGGTAAAAGCCTCCGGGACCACGTGCAGCAATAGCCGACAAACAATCGGCAACAAAGCTGGCTTCCCAATAGATGTGACCCACTCACACATTCATAGTTAATGTAACTAAGATGCTTATTTATTTATAGTTCTGTACAAATTAGTTGACGTTTAGTGAATATTTATTTTCATAGTTCTGATTTCTTTGTTATGTTAACATATGCATTGTTATTATCAATTGCATATTTAGTTATTAGAAGTTGCATAGTTATTTCTTTCTAGTTGCATATTTATTGAAAACAGATGTATAGTTATTATCAGTTACATATTTAGTTCTTAGATGTTACATAGTTAGTTCTCACTAGTTGCATGTTTAGGTCATAGGACTGCATAAATAGGTATTTACTTGTTGCAGAGTTATTGTAAAACAGATCCATATTTATATAGTAACAGACATGCATAGTTACTGTATTTATGATGCATATTTATTGATATCTCTATGCAAGTTTAGTTCATGTTTAGTGCATAATTGGTTTCATAGTGTTGCATTCCTATTTGATATAATTGTAACTGTTTTGGAATCCTTTAGTTTGATAATGCATATTTAGTTCTTTCTACTTGCAATTTTAGGTCATAGTGAATGCATATATAGTATTCAATTGTTGCATGTTTACTGTAATCCAGTTGCATAGTTATTGTTAGGCAGTCTAGTAGTCATTACAAACATGTACACATGTAACTTTGTCGACCTATACATATCTAAAATGTTCGCAAATCTAGATATGCATGGTTGAGACGACCTTCTTTGTTGTGTTGTTGATGTCGATTGGCTCAATCGCCTGTTTGTAGAAATAAATGTTGATCGGCATGTTGTTCTCGTACTGGAAGATGTTATGCTGAAAAACGTCCCGTGGGGCATCTTTCACATAGATCGTCTCTTTCCCGTGTGATCGGACGCGGCGCTCGAATTTTGGCAGGAAATTTACGTAAGAGACTCTTTCCATGGGATGATATGGTACCAAAATCCAAAAGGAGCATCTCTGCATAAATCAAGTGCGGATGTAAAATTAATAAACGAGAAACACAAACTCTAAATATAAAATATAATTACAATACAATAAAACTTGTTTTATTTTAAAAAACTTCGGATCAGATATATGAAGTTGTAAATAATATCTATTTTAGATTAATATAATTCTAAAAATAAAATTAAACAATATTATTTTTGGTAAATTTAGTGAAACAATGGGGCACCATATTTAGGAGATTTAAGAGATGTAGAATAGTAAAATAATTAATTCCTTAAACTACGTAATTTTGTTCTAATCTAGAACGACAATTATTTTAAAACAGAAGAAGTATTTATTATACATAATTTCACAATAAAAATTATTGTATAAATATAAATATATTTAAGTACGANATATAAATTACCCCGAGTATCCTACTAGTTTAAATTAGATCGAGGGTTTCTGAAAATTTGAAGCAGCTCTGCAAGCAAACACCACATTGGAGGTGAGGGTTTCTCTCCCGTATTATCGAACGCCAAAGGTAGTAAACTGTTCCAGAAGAATTTTGTTTTTGTTGCATTTCATTAATCAATTGAAATTATTTTCGTCTCAAAGAAATTGGGAAGTTCTCGCTTTCGCGTGGGAGGTTTTCAGTACCCGTTTTCTTTTCTTCATTTTATCGTGTACATCTTTTTATAAGTTTCTGTTATATGCTTGAGTAGTGAGATTTATTTGGGGGTTATGTTTTGTTGAATTCATGACGCCTTTATGTGCTTGAATGTAATCCTAATTTTTCCACAGTAGCTGCCTTCTGATTTGCAGCTGTTTCCACCAATTCACTATTCTAGTTTACTTTTGTGAGTCTTAAGAAAGTTGTAGCTCAGTGTCTTAGCTTCCGATACCCTAAAAAACAACTTTCATACCCATTTGAATGCCATAATTACGAACTTTGCGCAGTCCTATGCGACCAAATATGACCCATCACTATCCGAAAGCCCCTAAAGTTGATCAAGAACATTATCGCTTGTTTTTCACTAACCAAGTTCAATTTTTGCCTAACTGAATTCCTGTGTTATTCTTCTTCTTTTTTCCTTGTTAAGATAAAGTTAATCCTAGACCATGAATCGGCATATGTTTTTCAGCCATTACTGATATAATAATTGATTTGGTGATTGTTGTTTTGTTTGGTCTTGATGAGTTGCAAAGGAGGCTTACTTTTCAGCACATAGTGTTAACAAATTAAAATTTGATTGTGTGTCTGCACAAAATTGATAATACAAAGCTTTTATATACATACATTTATCTACCACTTTTAATTTGATTCTACGATTTTCAATAATGATTAATAGTTTGGTAATCAGTTATGGCTGGTGGAGAAGAGGAATCAGTTGAGGCTGCAGCTTTGGCACGCAGAGAGAGGCTGAGAGCACTTAAAGCTGCTCAGGAACTCCTCAACACACCCGATGAAAATGCGGAACATGGTAACAATCAGCAACCACAAGAGCAGCTGGAGCATGAAAAAGATGAAGATGATAATGAAGACGACAATGACCAAGAAAAGGCGTAAGGGTCCTTGTCCAATTTTCCTATTACTAATTGTCTACTTGAAACCGTCTTCCCTTCCCTTGCATAGTTTTTCCCTGTAGTTAATTGCTAGTTAGGTCAATTTGACCTTTATTCATTTGTTGACTTTGTCACTTGCACATGCTTTTGGTTCATTTGATGTTGAAAATAAATCAGTGTTTAAAAAGGCCTTTATTCTTATGCTGCCGGCTCTGCTGCCGCTAGAGACAGCAACAGAAATGTTACCAGCAGTGCTGCCGGCAGCACTTTCTTTTTCCGCTGCTTTTTTTTTTTTATTATCCAGAAGTCCAGTAAAAAAAAGTTGGAGTTTGGAGTGAACTTGCTACTTTGTTATATGTTGGATTCATTTAATTTTGATGTAGGGTTTCTAACGTGTATATCCATATTTATTAGCTATTATATATTTTTACATACGTAACTATGTCATAATTGGTGAGTTATTTGATATATCTTAATTTTTGCATAATGGCTCGCCTTGCTTCAATAAGGGGAATGCCTTTTTAATTACTCAAATAAGTTACCTTAATTGGTGAGTTATTTGATATATCTTAATTTTTGCATAATGGCTCGCCTTGCTTCAATAAGGGGAATGCCTTTTTAATCACTGAAATAAGTTACCTTTATTGCTTGCAGCAACGTGACTGTGAAATTCCGAAATTATCTTCCTCATGACAAGCAACTGCAAGAGGGTAAAGTTGCACCGCCTGTATTACCTAAATTTGAAGACCCTGCTCTGGCAGCTCTTCCTCTAGAGGAGAAGAAAAAAGAGGTGCTTCATGAAGTTCTATTGCATTTCCACTTTTTCCTCATTGTTTCTTGCTCTCCTTTTATGCACTATCAAGTTATGTTTGCTTATGTGTTGCTAAATGTTTTGGGGACAAATTGTAGGATCCATTTTTAAATATAGCACCAAAGAAACCAAACTGGGACCTGAGAAGGGATGTGCAAAAGAAGCTCGACAAGCTTGAACGACGCACTCAAAAGGCTATGTTAGTACTCACGGGTATGCAATCTTTCTTTGTCCTTCTATATTAGCTACCCCCAAAGAGAGAAAGTTGGTTTTGAAATATGGATCGCCTTTCATCTCTCATCCTTTTGTGTCTCAACATTGGGAAAGAGAGACTAAAAATTTTTGTCNTTTGAGGACTAACAACACATCCTTGTTATACTGGTGCAATTCTCCCAGCCTGTAAATTCCTCTGAAAATGTGCATCTTTATGGTGTATATCTTGGATCAAATTCCATGATCTTTCCAATTTTGAGTAGTAATTTTGCATTTGGCTGAACCCAGACTTATTTTTACATATTATTTTATTATCAAAATTTTTATTTCTATTAAGATCGAGTCATCATGATCTGGAACAATGTCAAAAATTTATTTTGTTTAGAATATACTGGGTATGTTGTTGTTAGATTTTTAACCTTGATACAAGTTCATTTTGGCTTGTTATAGTCGCATGCTTATGCTTGTTATTGGCTTATGACGTGCAGAGCAGGAAGCCAACAGAAGATCTAGAGAAGACAGAGAAAATGGTGAAGACTGAAACTAATTTCAAGGAAATATTAGTCAAAGCCACAAAAGTACTTGTGTAGCGGACATGTCCTTGCGTTTGTTATCTTAATTCAATTGAATGTGATATATGTGAGATATGTGTGATTGCTTTCTCGGTTTGAACTTGCGAAGGCAGGATTTGTGTAGCTCATATTAATTAATTACAGATCATGTTATTAAGTATTAACTTGAACTGCAGGCCGGAAAGCAGTCATTCATGCTCCACTTTTCTTGCATTCTCAGTCGAATTCCTAATCACAATTTCTCAACTATGAGATCCATTACATGTGACCTTCATGGGTTACTACAAAAATATGTCTTCGTTTTTGCTTGCATGGGATAGGAAATAAAATTTGGAAAACTGCCGTCTTTTAATTTTCTGTTCGCCTGCATGTGAGGTTGTGGACTTCAGGTATTTCTGAATGTAATTGTGAATATTGTACTGCATGTTTTAAATCCTTATCTGGAAATAACATTCTGTAGCGATACTCTAGGCTATAGCAAGTGTTGGTTTCAAAAGTTTAAAAACATTTTCACTTTGACGCATAATCTAAAATGTAAAATATGGAGCATGGTATGCTCAGGAATTAATTTAAATTAAATTATGAAATAGGTACCTTGAATGTAATAAAAATTATATAATTTTCTTGAAAGGTTTTCTTCCCTTCTCTGGCACCATTTATGATAAAATCACCGACTGAGCAAAACGGTATAGGTATAGATTATTAATTTTATGAAATTAGTTTCCCACAATTCTAACTTCCGAAGGACAAGAGTCTTATTTTTTATCCGAACCAGTGGTACCGTTTCTCAAAAATTGGATTCCGATTAGTATTCTACATTTTCGTAGTGTTTTTGGTTTCGGACCTACTGAAACGATTTCTTTACCCGTTAAGGAAAATTTTTATTTTTAGTATCCAAAATACACCATTATTTTCGGTGCTTCACTATTTTAGTTGGACAGTTTTGGTCATTTATAGTTAAAAGCCAAGTCAAATTTAAAATTTTTAACCAATAAAGAATCTAATTATATACTAAAGATATTAGTTATTAGTCATTAACTTAATAATATTTAATAATAATATTAAATAAATAATTTAATAATTATCTTCTCCGACAACCTATTGGTGAATTTTAAAATATTGTACGTTAATGTATATAAAGCGTACTCGCGATGGGTGTTGAGGTTCTATGAGGAACGTCGAATTCGTGCAATTCACAGATCTGGTATACAAAAATAAGCCTAAAGTGTAGCGGATTAGAGTAAAGATTGAAACTTATGGCTTAAAGTTGCAGGCTCTATACAGACTTTCACGATTAACGGACTCGGACGAACGGTTCTGAGAAGTTCTTATCGCCTCGTCACGTGTCTCGTCTGATGGCTCGACGGTCGTCAGGTATCACGCGATGTTGCCAGGGATGCGCACTGCGTTGAATGACGTAGTGCGTGTGCGGGCGTTGAGGATGCACGAGCGCTGGGCTGCGGCGCGTTGCACCCGCGCGTCGTCGGGTCTGCCGTGCGCCCACCCTAGCGCCTGCGAATCGTATCGCGCGCTTTGCATGGCAACCGCACGCTGTGCTCACGTCCTTCACCGAGGGCCTTTGGCCACCGTCTCCCAGCATCCATGCAACTCGGTCGCCGCCGTCGCTCAGCTCTTGGGCCATCGCGACAGCATGCTGTATGTGGCCCGTGCATTTTTCATGCGCAACTGCTTTCGGTGCGGTCGCCGAATATCGACTGACTTGGCGTCGAGGTCCGTCAGTCATCGTGGTTGTCCAAGCTCGTCCGCAAACATCATGATCAAAAAATAAATTAGAATAGTTTAACAATTTGATCTTAGACCTACGGATGATATTACATGCTCGTCTACAACAATAGTAAATATATACCGTGTCCCACAGTACAAATAAACTATTACAAGCATTCACATCCCAAAACTTCTCGACATGTTCGAGGGTTTAAAAACGTGCAATAATTAAACAAGCAAGCATTTAAGGCTATAACAATGAAACAAGTAATCTGGCAAAACCATGTTAAGCAATTATTTTACAAATATGGCTGCGGTCGTATACATGTTAGTCACACAGGTATGAAAACTTCGAACTTTGCACCAGATCGAATTAAACCAAGTGCTTTAATACCACTTGTTGGGTCTTGGTTAGGAACGTTGAAATTATGCAAGTCACAGACTATCTACTAATTAATCCCTAAGCGCATAGAATCTATAGGTGAGGGTTCAACGCGTACCGTTTAAATAATTTAAAAACTCTATACAGACATACATGGCCTACGAGATCGGACGAACGGTTCTGAGATGATCTTCTCACCTCGCCGTCCTCCTCATCTTTGGTCGTGCGTTGCTCGTCGATCAGGATCCCTATTGGGACCAGTGAAGATCTCGTCAAGTACAAGTTATGAATTAAACAACAACAGTAAACTTATGCGCAACAGATACTAAAGGTTTAAAGTTGAACACTTACGGCTTAAAATTTGCAGACTCTGAGACGTTGTAGATTTCCCTTGACAGAGAACATATGATTTTCCACTCGTCGAAAATTACCTCGTTCGGATGTCTCAGAGTCACCGGGAATGTCACGCGGTCATGCGGTGTCGCGCAAGAGCACCGATCAGGTTGAGCGCGTGGGGTCATCGGGACTGCGTCTCAGCTACTTGCGTATGGAGATCCATCGCGTGTGGTGGCTCTCGGGTGATGCACGGATGATTGTCGGGGTTTTGACAACCTCAAGGACTTCTGTTGTATGACCTGACACCTCTCCAGTTGTCTTGGTAGAGCAACAAATCTTGGAGATGATCTCCTGGGAACTAGGTGGTTGACTCGTGTGTGTGATTATGAGTGAGTTGTGTCTTCTATCTCAAAAGATACATGGTGTATAGTGCTACACCAGGGACCCTATGGAGGTGATGATGTGGGCTTCTTAAGTATTGGGCCTAACTATGGGCCAAGCCCACTCTGCTCAAATAACTTAAATAATGTCTCGGTCTACTAACAAAACATTATTGCACTCCCTCATCATCCCCAAATTATATGCGCGACACCAATTGTAATTACCTGAATTACCTCCCCATGTTAAAGATGTAATGTCCATCAATGAATTCGATTACTAACAATCAAGAATTAATCGGCATCTTGAACCAAAGCTAGTACCACTCAAATCACTATTATTATGTCGAAACTTAATCCACCTGCAGGTTTAACATAATAATCCTTCATGAGCTCACTTCGGGGACATCAAAGTAACGCACATGGTGATCGTAAATATTCTAACGGCACACCATTCACACAGCACTACTACCCAAAACACGAAGACTATTGACCCAACAGAATGGATCTTTCTTTTGGTGAATCAAAGTAGCAGTTACTGTGTGCACATGCCTATTTATATCTTACGGGTTAAGAGAACACAGTAATAAACTGAGGCCTAGTTCGTCACAACGATCAGTATAAAACAAACTACCCTGCTCAAGGATTCTATTCCATACATAAATGTACTAGTGCAACTAATCAGTCAAATCAATTGTACCGTTGACACTACAACTGTTCCAATGTTTTGTTTATTTCCATCTAGGTTGTGAACCAATCGTTCTTATTTCGCAAGTTACTGATAAAATGATCTTTTGTCCATCCGTGATGAACCATTTTATCTAAATACAAAACAATAAAACATAAAACTTGTGTAATCAAACACGATTCTTATTCAACGGAAATAGTGTAAATAACATCCAAAGCCAAACTTTTAGTATATACACCAACAATCCCATCGTGTTGCATTACGCCTTGACATTGTCTTGCATTTCGTGTCTCCTAATGATGAAGCATCTCCTATCGATTGCTCCTCATCTCAGGCCGTGTCGGGTCGCCTAGGGGTTGTTGTTCATGCTACCATTGGCTTGGAGTCACTGCAACACGCGTAGAATGGACACGACACGCTCAAACATGTTGTTGCTCGCCTAGGGTTTGCTGCTGCGTGTGGGGAACTTGCTGCACAATTTGGACGTGACTGGGACATCCACAGATGCTATTGCTCGTGGATGGAACCCCTGGGATGATGCCGAGCATGCTGGGACGCGCCTCACGATGTTGTGCACATTGGGCGCACTAAAGCGCGGCTGGGATCCATTTATCCGTGGCTCTACATGCTGGGAAGTTCTGCTGCACGACTGAATGGCATGGGGTCGTGGATGGACGTACTGCTTGCACCAAGGCATGGCTTGGATGAGGTGGAATGTGTGTGCAACGCGGTGCGCATATCTGCACACCTGGGACACGACTGCGCGAGCTGTGTGCGCTGTTGCATGCGCTTGTGTTTCTAGAACGCACGGTGGCATTACCGTGGTTGCTGGTTGTTTCCGGAGGTGAGGGACTTATCACTGGGATTTGGCCTGATCGCCGGTGACTCCTTTCTATTTATGGGGATAAATTTATTGTGATTTGTATTCTTGGTTTACCTAGGATCTTTTGTTGTATGACCCGACACCTTCTTCGTTCATCATAGTGGCGACGATCTTGGAGATATCTCGATTGGGATTCCTAGGATATATGGGGCGGCTATGTGCGTGTGTTTCTCATAATCTCAAATTTTAAGAGATGTGATGTATTTATAGGCTACAATAGGGACCCTAAGGAGGTGCTAAATATGAGTTTCTCCATTTTGAGCTTAACTGTGGGTCAAACTCACTCTTCTCAAACTTGAATAATATTTATGTCCACTAAAATAATATTATTGCACTTCCCATTTAGCGCCCCAATTACATTTAAGGCTCCAATAATGTTACCCGATTTACTTCACTGTATTTAAGATATAATGTACGGCAATTAATTTAATTACTGACAATATAATTAATTGACTGTTTGAATTGAGAGTATTATCATTCAAATCTTTATTATTATGTCGGAATAAATTCTACTGGTTGGGTTTAACATAATAATCCTTCTGGAGCTCATCTCAGGCACATCATCAAACTACTGCATATGGTGACCGTAAATATTTGAACAACACACCATACACACAACACTACAACTCAAAACACGTCAAACTATTGGCCCACCTGAATAAATTTCACTTTTTGGTGAATCAAAGTAGCAGCTATTGTATGCATGTGACTGTTTATATTTTACGGGCTATGTGTACGCAGTAATTAACCGAGGTCTAGTTTATTTTTCGATCAGTATATAACAAACTTATTATTTCTAGGATTCGCTCAATACACATAGTGTACTAGTGCAACCAATCAGTCAAGACAGACTGTACACTTGACACTTCAACCGTTCACGATGGGTCGTTCATTTTCATCTAGGTTGTGAACCTGATTATTTATATTTTACAAGCAATCCATATATGATTTTGTGTCCATCCGATTAACCACAATATCCAAATGTAAAGCATCAAAACATAGACTGTTTAATTAAACATTATTCTCATTCAAATAAGAATTGTGTCAACAAAAAGCCGAGCTTTCAGTATACACATCAACACTTACATGAGCGCCATTGGCGCGTTAGTTTATCTTGAAAATTGCACCAGACCTGATATTGCATTTGCAGTAAACTTGCTAGCATGGTTTAATGTCTCTCCTACAAGTAGACACTAGAATGGTATTAAACATATTTTTCGGTACCTTCAAGGTTCACAAGATCTTGGTTATAAGAATAACCAAGATATGACATTTATGGGCTATTAAGATGTTGGTTTTATGTCTGATTGCCAGTTCTTAGACTGGTTATGTTTGCCTCTGTGATGGTATTGCAATCTCTTGGAAGTAGGTCAAGCAGTCCATGGTTACTACATCTTTAAACCACTCAGAGATAACTGCTTTATACGAGACTTCACGAGAATGTGTATGGTTAAGATCTTTAATCCAACATATCCGTGAGTCATGTGGAAATTGGAATTACAAATGATATAACCTCAATTGTCCTTTACGAGGACAACACAACTTGTGTTTTACAAATAAGTAGCGGGATGTTAAAGGAAGCATGATAATACATATCGCTCCGAAAGTCTTTTACCCGCATGAGCTCCAAAGAAAAAAAAAGTGAGATTATTGTACAAAAACTACGATCTAGCGAGAATTTGGCAGACCTATTCACCAAATCCCTTCCTACATCTACTTTTGAAAGATACATTTATGGTGTTGGTATGCGTTAATTGGAAAAACTCAAAATAATCCTGATGATTATGTCCTGAAGACCAAGTGTTGTACTTTTTTTTTCCTCAACTAAGTTTTTCCCACTAGATTTATTAGTTAAAGGTTTTTAATGAGGCACCAGTAAAACACATGAATTTATATAAATCATGTACTCTTTTTTCCTTAACTAATTTTTCCATTCAAGGTTTTTAGTGAGACATATAGTAATATCCAATGTGGAGTGTTATAAATATATTGTTGTATGGACATTACTAAAATACTTATTGGACCTGAAACTCATTAATTAGATAAATTAGACTTTAAGTTTTTTTCCCTTGTAAACCCCATAAAAAGAAAGACACAGATAAATGAAGAAGGAACTTTTATATACTATTTATACTCCTTATCTTGTTTTCCCCCTTATACTTGGTGCATGTTTGGTTGGGCGGATTAGGGAGGATAGCCCCTGTAATCCTACGGTTATCCGGCGTTTGGTACGTAGGATTGGAACCCGTAACTATTTTTGAAGCCCGGGATAAATTGGCCATAATCTTGAGTTCACGGGATAAATTTATCTCCTCCCTACCCCCCGGATTCAAATTATCTGCAAAGTATCATTCTCGTTGAAATGACCAAAATAACCCTGAAAGTTAATTTTGTCCAA